AATGGAATGCTACTCAGCCATATAAAAGAACAATGGTATTTGCAGCAACAAGAGATTATCATACTAAGTGAAGAAAGTCAGAAAGACAAATACCACATGATGTCACTTATATGTGGAGTCTAAAATATGACACAAAAGAACCTATGTACGAGACAGAAACAGACTCACACTCATACAGAACAGACTTGTTTCCAAGGGGGAAGAGGGTGGGGGAGGGATGGAGTGGGAGGTTGGGGTGAGCAGATGTAAGCTATCATATATGGAATGGATAAACAACAAGGTCCTACTGTATAGCACAGAGAAGTACATATTCAGTATCCTATGATAAACCATAATGGAAAATAATATACAAAAACGAATGTATATATATGTGCAGCCGAATCACTTTGCTGTATAGCAGAAATTAACACAACATTGTAAATAAACTATTACCCTTCAATTAAAAAAAAGAAAAAACATAAATACAATTCACCCTATCACTGGTCTAAAAACAAAACAGAAAACATCTTAGTTTAAGAGGCAATCAGCAAACTTCAATACCCGTTCATGATAAAAACTCTCAGAACCAGAAATAAAAGGGAATTTCCTCAACACAAGTGGGCTAGGATTGGCAAATTTTTTCTGTAAAAAGATAGTTAATATTTTAGGCTTTCTGGGACTTTCATCCAGACTGTCTCTGTCACAACTCTTCAACTCTGTGGTTTTAAGTGCAAAAGCAGCCACAGACAATGGGTAAACAAATGGTGGGGCTATGTTCCAATAAAACTTTATTTACAAAACAGGTGGCCAATGAGATTTGGCCCTCCCAGTTTCTCACACCTATGAAACTCCCAAAAAAGCTAGCAAACATCACACTTAGGGTGAAAGACTGAATTTCTCCAGCCAATATCACTCACTGTAGACAAGGCCAAGAGTTAAAAACTCTTTAGGGGTCCATCCTTACAGAGATTCCTACACTTTTGTGAGTTTTTACCTCCAGGAGCCCTACCAGAACTTCTCAGGGTGACTATGTACTTCTAGCAGGGGAAGGGAAAAGCAGACATTTGAAAATACTGATCTTCTCAACAAGACCTGCACTCAAGTGATTTTGGCAGAGCCTAATTGAGGTGGGTTTCACCAGGGCCTAACCAATATGGAGGCAGGGAAATACCCAACTCCAGCCCCCTCTAACCTTCCTGTCCTACCTAAGAAGTGAAAAAAGACTGAGAAGCACTGGTGAAGTTCACAGATGAGGTACATGCTCACTTCAAGACTGCCAGCTAATCACAGGACTACAGAACACTTCTCCTACCCAACCCCCAGCCTCATCACCATATCATTAAAGACCTATTTATCAGATTTGCTTTAACCCAGTATATCACACACATTAGGCTTCTGACAGAAAATTACAAGGCATACAAAAGGGATTAAAACACAGTTTGAAGAGTCAAAGCAAGCATCAGAACACGACTCTGATACGGCAGGGATGTTGAGATTGTGAGGCTGGGAACTTAAGATCAGTACAATAAATATGGTAACACCTCTAATGGAAAAAACAACGTGCAAGAACAGTTGGGTCATGTAAGCAGAGAGTTGGAAATTCTAAGAAAGAGTCAGAAAGAAATGTTAGAAATCAAAAGCAGGCATCTTATCCATTTAGTTAACCATCTTAGGTGGGATATATCTTCATGTTTTCAGCCCAATCACCCAACATATTTTCTTTCCAGGATCTAATGATATCACATTTTAGTTACCTTGTTTCACTGACTCTTATTACATGAAAGACAATGAAGTATTTTAAAAGCACAATTTTGTTATGCAGATGTGCCCACTAGTGACAACTGTAACAAACACTTTCTCATCAAACGCCAAAACCCTAGAGGCAGGAATCCCTGGTATTAATTGTGTACCTGTGTCCTGTTAAGTCTGTGACAGCACATAGGCTTTATTATTTTCATAATAAATCCTAGAATTCTATCAAAAGCTGGTGTAGGTACTTATCTTTATAATCTGGTGGGAAATTGGAACCCATCAAGCTGCCCGAGGTAAAAGAGACATTTCCAACAGAAAGAACAGAAGTGAAAGCCGAAAAAGGGTATAACGCTCCATCCTTTTGGTTGAGAACAGTCTTTTCTCATTGTTTCTACTTTGGCAAGTTAATATAAAAGGCATAATTCCCTTCAGATTTAATTTATACTTTCTACCAAGGTCAAGCCACTAGTGCATATTGTAATAGTGTTCTTTGGCATTCTACCTCACAGCAAGTGTAACTACTTAGAGGTATACTGAATTTAGATTACCAAGTCAAGCCAGCAAGATGGGAGACCCTCAGGGGAAATACTATCTCTGGATTTCCTAAATACCCACAGTTCCTTTAATTTTCATGATCACTAAGGTACTTGCTTGTTGACTGGGGGTGGGGGAGGGGTGTGGATGGGAGGCACTGAGTTTACCTGGGCGTACTGTTCCAAAACTGTGGCTGCGTCGCCGTGCTTCCTCTGCTCAGCTAGCTTTCCTGCAAAGACAGTAAGCATCTGAGCACAGTCGGCTCACTAAGAACGGTATTCCCCAAACTCGAGTTGCAACGGTTTCAGGTGGTACTATTTAAGGCAAAATGGTCCCCTACAAATTGGAGGTTGAGCTCCGCAGGGTATGCATTCAAAGTGAACTGCTTTAAAATGGCATCTTCAAAAGTGCTCCCCAGACTGCTCGAAGGATCATAAAGGCAGGACCAAGAAACCATTCTCAGGTCAAGTACGTTTGTGAAGCACTGGGTAAGATAGAGTTAAGCGTTCTTTTGCTGAAATGCTTCATTAATATGTCTTTATTGTGTATCAAACTATATACTTTATGAATTTCTATGAGAGAGAGAGGCAGGAATACCATGGGGTCCTATCTTAAATGGCAGTTACAATCAAAATTTAGCATGGATGTGAAAATCACATATAGTCAAAATCAGTCATGAAAAATGCTTACAAAGGCACACATGTGGGAAACTGACCTAGCATCTCGCACTAATCCATTTCTCCTCTAATAGGAAGAGGCTGCTGTTTCTTTGGTTGCGCACTAGATGGGGGTAGTTGGCTTATGTCAGGGGTCTTGCAGTATCTTCAGATCTGAGACTCATTCTCAGCCCAGTTGAGATAATTACACTATGAGAGGCACACAGAACCCAGAGTTAACTAAGGGGCTGGCAGAGTCACGTCTCCCATTTCATGCTAACTCCAGGGCATATTATCACGGACAAAACCGGGAATAGTCACCTGCACTGTTTAAATAGCTATCTTTCTTTCCTTTGGTGACTTGTGTAAACTGGCTAAGTTAAATGTACACATGAAGTGACTCCACCTTGTAACATTTCTCAAAAATCTTTGAGCACTGTCTTCTCCACCTTTTTCTGCTAAGCATCTGGGAGAACTAGGTGCACTCCATTATAAGGCATGACACACAGCAAGCTAA